TTAGAGACAATTCTATAACCAATGTTCCAACGATGTGTAAATATTTCATTCAATATGATCTGCTACCAGAAATTTTAGCCAAATATCCCCAGTTTGCTAACTGTAGGTAGTAACTAAATGACTGTAACCTATCCACCCCTGCCCACTGGATGGGGGGCGGTGTGCAGGACAAACATATCAATTGTTATCCACCTCTTATTCACTATCTATGACAATCATCACTTTAATGATCAAAGTTGCAGATATTTTACAGCACATGATGTAAACAATGTATTAACACACAATCACAATATCTCTGTAATTAACTTGAATGTAAGATCTCTAAGCAAACACTTCGATGATGTTAGTGCCTTGATTGAAACTATTGACAACAAATTCTCTTTTATTATACTTACTGAAACGTGGTTAAAAGAGGATACTATTCAACTCTTTAACATCTAGGAATATCAAAACTGTATTTATTCCTGGTGTGGTGCTCATGGGTTCTGTTACAACCTTCAATGAAGCTTTTGAGGTCAGGATTGGCATTACAGTTCAGCGTTTTATATATGTATAATACACATGAGAGAATGTGCAGTGACTTAATATCTAACATATTCAGAGATTTGAGTAAGGGTACCGAGTGATGTCTGGGGCCAGAGTTGGTTATTGTCCTAATAGCAGCTTTGTGTTGGGTAATGAGAGGACGTAAATGATTTTGGGTAGTAGAACCCCAAGCACAAATACCATAGTTGAGGTATGGATAGATGAGGGAGTAATAGAGAGTAACCAGGGCAGGGCGGGGTACATAATATCTGATCTTAGAAAGAATGCCAACAGTTTTTGAAACTTTTTTTGATATATTTAGAATGTGACCCTGGAAATTCAGCTTGTGGTCGATGAGAACGCCAAGGAATTTGCCATCTAATTTGTTACAAATTTGGGTATTGTTTATTTTGCCGAACTACTTAGCAATTCACAACTGTCGACCAATTCAGACATATGGTGGTACTGCTCTTTAATACCACCAAGAACTAACATGCTTAAAAGTAATTAGAACTAGAGACTACTGTGGGGAGTATATCTTCGCCATTTTCAGAGTCAAGGGTGCTGAGTCTGTCCTGAATGTGGGAGCAGTCTATAGAATTCCTAACACTGATGTGTCCAAATTCAACTCTAGCCTTAGAAATCTAATACTAGATAACAGACTGAACAAAAACCACCTAATTATCGCAGGGGACTTTAATATTGACCTCGGCGAGCCTGAAAATCCTACTGCTGCCAGGTTCCTCAACTGTATGAATTCTTGCTTCCTCATACCCTTAATTACTAGACCTACTAGAATCACTGATAGTACTGCCACGACTCTAGATCACATCTGGACCAACATAACCTCTCTCCACTTACTTCAGGGATAATCATTGATAGCACTACAGACCATTACCCCACATTTCTCCTAACTAACATTAACAAACCACCTCTAGAGTCAAGGAAGATAAGCTTTAGGCTGCACAATGAAACTGCCATAGGCAATTTTATAGCTGCTGCAGCTAATGTCAACTGGGAGTCCGAATTAGGTAACATAGGGGATCACAACTAAGCAGTGCAATCATTTCTTCAAAAAACTCTCAGCCTTTATAACACCCACTGTCCTATGCTAACGAAACAAGTCACAACTAAAAAGCTAAACAATCCTTGGCTTACAAAGGGGATACTTAAATTCATTAATAAAAAACATGACCTTGACAAGAAGTATAGGTTAGGAATCGTCTCCAAAGAATTTTCAAAGAATTACTCATCATTACTATCTAAAATAATTAGAAGAGTCAAAACTAAATACTACGAAGATAAATTTACCCAAACAAAGGGCAACATTAAGAAAACATGGAGCACAATTTCACAAATATTAGGATCAAAGAAGATTATAAATAACAAACCAACACTCCTGTCCAATAATGATGGTCTGCTTTCAGCCTCTGATTCTGCTATTGAGTTCAATAGGTTCTTCTCTTCCATTGGGTCATCCCTTGCAAATGATATTCCATCTTCCAGTACTGATGTTCAGGACTATCTTACAGGTAACTATCCACAGTCTCTGTACCTAACGCCTGCAAATTCCACTGATGTTAATGAGATAATCCTTTCCCTTAAAACCAAGTCTAGTGCCATTGAGGAGATACCAACTTTAATTTACAAAAAAACCTCCAGATCTTTAGCCCCTGCCATTGCATTGCTCTTCAACAAGTCACTTGAACTCCAAACCTTTCCAGATATTCTAAAAAAAGCGAGAGTAACCCCGTCCACAAATGTGGTAATCTCACTGATGTTAACAACTACAGACCTATATCAATCCTGCCAAACTTGTCAAAAATATTTGAAAAACTAATCTACAAGCAGCTTTACTCTTATCTAGCCATACACAATATACTTAGATCGTGAAAATATGGCTTCAAACTCAAAAAAAGCACTAACAATGCACTTATTAGTATGATTAACTTGATACATGCAGCTCTAGATAAAAATGAACTCCCTGTTGGGTTATTTGTGGACCTGCGTAAGGCTTTTGACACTGTCAATTACCAAAACCTTCTTCTTAAATCAGGACTGGACTGGACAGGTCAGGACTGACATTACAGTTCAGTGTTTTATATATATAAAATACACATGAGAGGATGTGCAGGGACTTAATATCTAACATATTCAGAGATTTGAGTAAGGGTACCGAGTGATGTGTGGGGCCAGAGTGAGATATTGTCCTAATAGCAGCTTTGTGTTGAGTAATTAGAGGACGTAAATGATTTTGGGTAGTAGAACCCCAAGCACAAATACCATAGTTGAGATAAGAATAGATGAGAGAATAATAAAGTGTCACCAGGGCAGGGCGAGGTACATAATATCTGATCTTAGAAAGAATGCCAACATTTTTCGAAACTTTTTTTGATATATTTAGAATGTGTCCCTGGAAATTCAGCTTGTGGTCAATGGGAACGCCAAGGAATTTGCCATCTACTTTGTTACAAATTTGGGTATTGTTAATCCTGAGATTTATTTGATTTGAGGATTTATTGCCAAACAAAATATAGAAAGTTTTATCAATATTGAGGGTGAGTTCGTTGGCAGTTAACCAGTGATGGACTTTATTTAGCTCAGTATTCACTGTGACATTTAGAGCAAGGGGGGTCGGGACTGGAGTAAATGAAGGTCTTATCGTCAGCAAATAGAATTGGTTTGCGATGTTGTGTTAGATATGAAGTCACTGCACATCCTTTCATGTGTATTATATATATATATATATATATATATATATATATATATATATATATATATATATATATATACCTAATAGCCAGAACGCACTTCTCAGCCTACTATTCAAGGCCCGATTTGCCTAATAAGCCAAGTTTTCCTGAATTAATATATTTTTTCTAATTTTTTCTTATGAAATGATAAAGCTACCCATTTCATTATGTATGAGGTCAATTTTTTTTTATTGGAGTTAAAATTAACGTAGATATATGACCGAACCTAACCAACCTACCTAACCTAACCTAACCTATCTCTATCGGTTAGGTTAGGTTAGGTAGCAGAAAAAGTTAGGTTAGGTTAGGTTAGGTAGGTTAGGTAGTCGAAAAAACATTAATTCATGAAAACTTGGCTTATTAGGCAAATTGGGCCATGCATAGTTGGCTGAGAAGTGCGTTCTGGCTATTAGGTACGACATATATATATATATATATATATATATATATATATATATATATATATTATTAAATATGACCGAAAAAGTAAGATTAATAATTCTAACACGAATTTTCTCAATCTTTCGTACATTACGCTTCACTGTTGGAGGTAAATCAAAAATCACTTCTCCAAAATTCATTTTTATTTCTAGTCTGACGCGACACGGGCGCGTTTCGTAAAACTTATTACATTTTCAAAGACTTCACAAATACACAACTGATTTGTGAAGTCTTTGAAAATGTAATAAGTTTTACGAAACGCGCCCGTGTCGCGTCAGACTAGAAATAAAAATGAATTTTGGAGAAGTGATTTTTGATTTACCTCCAACAGTGAAGCGTAATGTACGAAAGATTGAGAAAATTCGTGTTAGAATTATTAATCTTACTTTTTCGGTCATATTTAATAATATATGTCTACAGGAAAGACTGCTACCAAAATATACTAATATATATATATATATATATATATATATATATATATATATATATATATATATATATATATATATATATATATATATATATATATATATATATATATATATATATATATATATATATAAAATGCTGAACTGTAATGCCAATCCTGACCTTAAAGGCTTCATTGAAGGTTGTAACAGAACCCATGAGCACCACACCTGAAACAAATACCTTTTTGATATTCCAAGCGTACGACTTAATCAAACTTGAAATGCTTTACAAATCAAGGGACCCAGAATGTGGAATGACCTTCCCAATCATGTTAAAGACTGTACCTCTCTCAACCAGTTTAATATAAAAACTAAGCACTACCTAATTAACTCCCTGTAACCTACCTTACCCCTATAATGTCAACCCATGTCTGTTATTTTTTAGCAATGCTGTTTTGTCGACCAAATTGTATTTTTGCTGTTTTTCTGCCATGTTCCCCCTTTTTTATTTTATTTTATTTTTTTTCAACACATTTTATACTTTAATCTCAATTAGTATTAAGTTTTAGTCTTTAGGGTTTTTCCTGCCCGAAACGCTTTGCATAATAATGGCTTTAGGCATTGTATGTATTAGCTCTGTCTATAAATCAATCAATATTTGTATCACACCTTGTATGTATGTACTTTACCTGAATAAGCATTTGAATTTGAATTTGAATATGTTTGATAATATAATAGTAAATATATCATAGTTACTCTTCAGGGACATCCATTTTCTCTTAGTTACTGGAAATTTTGGAGGGTCGGATGGCAACACTAACGGGAGAGTTTCGCTTCTTGTTTGTTATTTTGATCGAACAGCTGTTGCCTGGCATCTCATCCATGTAGCATCTCAGTTACTCTCCAGCTGCCTGATAACGTAGAGCCACATCGGTACAGTTAGAGAGAAGGTCTGAGAAGCTGGTACAATGTCACACTCTGTTGAAAAAAGACCTCTTCACGTCCCGTCATTGGAGGAGTTGGCACCTATTTTACAAAATGCATTGAAAATGAATTTTGCTGAAGTAGATGTGTGTGTCGTTGAATGTCCTGACCTAACAAACGAACCATTTCGTTTGGAAGGAAAAGGGTTGTGTGGGTCGCCGAGGCTGGGGGACGTGGGCGGTGTACCACACCTGGTACCGTTGGCCCACAAGGACAAGGTGTATGACATCAAGCAATTAGCAGCTGAGGTACATCTTCCGAATGCCTTTGTGTTGGGAGCGGGCGCAGGTCCACATACATTTGTTGGTGTTAACAGCGAGTTGATGGCGAATGTGAAGACTGGCGAGAAGGCTTCAAATGGGTCCCGTATTTCTAAGATTGATTCTTCCGGGAACTACGAACTGGTGAAGTTACCAGAGAGCGAAACTAGATGTGCTCTCATGTTGAACATGTTCGCTAGTGAAGGTCGAGCTGGAAAAGTTCTTCGAATTTGGGCAAAGAAGCGTACCGGCGAGAATAATTTTGTATCGTGCCTGCGCCAAGCACTGGAAAGTCATTATGGTGAGAAGCCCGTTGGGTTGGGAGGAACCTTTCGATTGGTAGAGGGCAGCGCCTGGTGTCACGTCATGCCAGACTTCTCCTCAGCTCCCCTCTCTTGTGACAAGGACATCAATAAGTGGTTACGTTTCTTCGACATGCCGGCTCCAATGGTGTTCTTGTCCACTTTAATCTCCAAAGATCCTGGGCTGGACCTCCGACTGGAGCACTCTCACGGATACGGCAACCAGTGTGGTGGCCACTACCACTACGACACCACTCCAGATGCAGTAGAATATGAGGCATTTTACAACGTGGCAGAGTTTATATACCGTATTGATAAGCCTAAAGTGACCCACGACTTCGGTAGAAACTAGTAGCTGTTTGCTAATCTACAGCAAACTTTAACCTTATTTGATTAAATAAGGAACCGATGAAGGCCATCAGTATGTGCAGCTTAACCTGTAAAATAATTTTATTTCAGTTGTCTTTAAGCAATAATTATTAAGCAAGAATTGTTAATGAACTGTGTGACAATTAAAAGTAATACTGCAAAGTATAAGACACGTACATTGGGGACATTTTACATAGGGGATTAAGGGTAGGTCATTGTTGCATATGCTATGTTGTTATTTATGCTCTGTTACTGGTATGCCAATTACTTATTAAATTCTTTGAAATAGGGTAGTTAGTTTTGTTTTATCCCTTGGTCTCTGTTTTGGTCTGTCATTACAAAGATAATGGCAGACCACCACGAATTAGTTAAGCAAGGGGCACAAGTTTACTGGCAGGTTAAGGAATCCAGCATTGGTCGTACTTACAAATCTTCCTGTTGTCATAACCATAAGAACGATATTGTACGTAGTAATACAGATGCTTGCATTCTTGGAAGCGCCGTGAAACACTTCATAATAACATTGCCACTATACATTAAAGGTCAAAGCCAAAATTATTTTGAACGTCTGTCGTGTATGTTTATTTATATTTTTAATAGTTGAAATTAGCTTATTAAAGAAAACATGACTGAAAAATGGACAGGCTCGATCTAGTCTTTTTTTTTTTTTTTACAAAAAGATACTTTTCAACAAGATTTGTGCTCGGCCCTCACAACTTTAATAAAAATGCATAGACAATAAAGACAATAAATAAATGTTCACACTGGTAATAGAACCAAAATGCTGCAATTGCCTTGAAATTGAAATTGAAATAAGTTTATTGATGTAAAATACACACAAAGGGATGAGGTAGCTCAAGCTATTCTCACCCCGTTCAGTACATCGTGTTAATACATACATATACACACATCACAAACAATAAACATATTACAAAACATGCAATTGCCTTGGACGCTATAATCTGACGCCAGATACATGCTCTGTTTTATTGTTAGTTATTCTTTTATTGATACAAGTGTTTTATTGTTAAAGGAAAGAAATAATCTCGTGAATTCTTACTACAACCAGTCTGACGTGTCAGAACACGCTGTAACTTGTGGTACAAGTTGTACTCTTAATTAGACCTACGAGTGAAAAGGCTTACACAGGAAGGATTTATTGTTGCAGCCTGGGGCATTTTTGCAGTATCAGCTGCAAATTTGATGATGTGGTTGTTATATTCTCATCTATGTCATTCGATGTATATGACAAAAAGGGTTGGTCCCAAGGTGGAACCTTGCGGTACCTTACTCATCACATTTCTCAAGTTAGATTCATTTCCATATAGGACGGCCCTTTGCTTTCTTTGTTTTAACTATTGTTATATCAATTAGCATTCTATCATTTATTCCATGTCCTTATACTTTACCTGACAGTCTTTCATGTTAAACAAAGGCTTTAGAAAAGTCCATGTACAGTATACTTCATCTACTGGAAGTTCTGCCTGAATAACTGATTACCGTTTCCAGAAATGTGAGCAGGTTTGTAAGGCAGGATATATTTTTAACAAACATGTTGCGTTGATTTTACTAAACTGTTCACGGTGGATGGAGGACTGTGAACAATCAACGTCCTCCTCAGATGATGGAGTACGCTGATCGAGCCCACTTCTTCAAGAGGTTAGAAATAACACAAACAAGGAACAACGGCTTCAAGCTCAGACACCCACAATGTAGCACAGAAAACAGGATATGTTTTTCCTAATAGGGATGTAAACACATAGAACCGCCTACCCGCCGAAGCCGTAAATGACTTCTGGTATCTTGAAACATTGAACCAAACTGAAAAATTATACTGGGCTGATGAAGGAATTAATATTACCTGAACGCCGCTATCTCTAGTGGCCTCGATGGGAGCAGGAAGCCGGCGGCTTGTCAAAGTTTGCCTATTGTTCCTGAGTATTTTTATCCAAGTGAATTTTGGAATGAAGTAATAAAAAAAATCAAATGTTTATTCAGGTAAAAGTACACACATAAAAGATGAATTACAAACGTAATGTTGGATTTATAGATAGAGCTATTGCATTCAATACATAAAGCCACTAATACTCACAGCGTTTCGGGCAAGGTGTGGGGAAAAACACTAAGACTAAAACTAAATACTAATTGAGATTAAAATATAAATTGTGTAGAAAAAAAAGAAAAAAAGAAAAAAAGGGGGGGGGGGGTGGTGGTGGCGTGGGGAACCATGGCAGAAATTAGCAATTTTACAACTTGGTCAACAAACAGTATTGTTTGAAAATAGCAAGACATAGGTTGACATTTAAGGGGTAAGGTAGGCTAGATGGAGTTTATTAGGTAGAACTTAGTTTTCCTCCTAAACTGGTTGAGAGAGGTACAGCCTTTGACATGAATGGGAAGGTCATTCCTCATTCTGGGTCCCTTGATTTGAAGGGCATTTCTAGTTTGGTTAAGGCGCACTTTTGGAATATCAAATAGGTATTTGTTTCTGGTGAAATGCCCATGGGTTCTGTTACAACCTTCTAGGAAGCGTTTAAGGTCAGGATTGACATTACAGTTCAGAGTTTTAAATATATAGAGTACACATGAGAGGATGTGCAGTGACTTAATATCTAACATATTAACAGATTTAAGTAAGGGTACCGAGTGATGTCTGGGGCCAGAGTTTGATATTGATCTAATAGCAGCCTTGTATTGAGTAATTAGAGGACGTAGATGATTTTAGGTAGTAGAACCCCAAGTACAAATACCATAATTGAGATAAGGATAGATGAGAGAGTAGTAAAAAAAGCGTTACCAGGCCAGGGCGAGGTACATAATATCTGATCTTAGAAAGAATGCCAACAGTTTTAGAAACTATTTTTGCAATATTTTGTGACCCTGAAAATTCAGCTTGTTATCGATGAGGACACCAAGGAATTTACCATCTACTTTGTTACTAATTTGAATACTGTTTATTCTTAGATTAATTTGATCTGAGGATTTATTACCAAACAAAATATAGAAAGTTTTATCAATGTTAAGGGTGAGTTTGTTAGCAGTTAGCCAAAGATGGACTTTATTTAGCTCAGTATTCACTGTTGCACTTATAGCAAGAGGGTCAAGACTGGAGAAAATGAAAGTTGTGTCATCAGCAAATAAAACTGGTTGGAGGTGTTGAGAGGCATGTGGAAGGTCATTAATGTAGATGAGAAAGAGGAGAGGGCCAAGTATGCTGCCCTGAGGAACACCAATGTTGATGGGTAGGGTGGGAGAAATTGAATTATTCACAGAAACATACTGGAGACTGTCAGTAAGGTAAGACTTAAGGTATTGGAGGGAGTGACCTCTGACTCCATAATGATGAAATTTAAGAAGGTTTTGGTGGTTAACAGTGTCAAAACCCTTACGTAGGTCAACAAATAACCCACTGGGAACTTATTTTTTACCAAGAGCTGCATGTATCAAGTTAATGCAGATGAGGAATCACAATAACGTGGCCGAAATATGTTGACCAAATCACACACTAAAAAGTGAAGGGACGACGACGTTCGGTCCAGGACGGACCGAAACGTCGTCGTCCCTTCACTTTCTAGTGTGTGGTTTGGTCAACTTATCAAGTTAATCATACTAATATGTGCATCATTAGTGTTTTTTTTGGGTCTGAAGCCATAGTGGCAAGAGCTCAGTATATTGTGCTTGGCTAGATAAGAGTGAAGCTGCTTGTAGATTAGCTTTTCAAATATTTTTGACAAGTTTGGCAGAATTGATACAAGTCTGAAACTGTTGACATCAGTGAGATCACTACATTTATGGACTGGGTTACTTTTGCTTTTTTTGAATATCCGGAAAGGTTTGGAGTTCAAGTGATTTGTTGAAGAGCAATGCAATGGCAGAAGCTAAAAATCTGGAGTTTTTTTTTGTAAATTAGAGTTGGTATCTCAGCAAGGGCACTTGACTGTTTTAAGAGAAAGGATTATCTTATTAACATCAGTGGAATTAGCGGGAGTTAGGTACAGAGACTCTGGATAGTTACCTGTAAGGTAGTCCTTAACATTAGTTAGGGAGGATGGAATATCATCAGCAAGGGATGTCCCAGTGGATGAGAAGAACCTATTGAATTCAATAGCAGCGTCAGAAGTTGAAAGCACACCATCGTCATTGGATAAGAGTATTGTTTTTATTCAAAATCTTTTTTGATCCTAATATTTGGGAAATAGTGCTCCATGTTTTCTTAATGTTGCCCTTAATTTGGGTAAATTTATTTTCGTAGTATTTTATTTTGTCTCTCCTTATTCTTTTAGACAGCAATGATGAGTAAATCTTTGAAAATTCTTTGGGAGACTACTCCTAATCTATACCTCTTCTCAAGGTCCGGTTTTTTTATTAATATATTTAAGTATACCCTTTGTAAGCCATGGATTGTTTAATCTTTTAGTAGTGACTTGTTTCGTTAGCATTGAACAGTGGGTGTTAGTAACCCGCCCTCTTAAAAATAACGTCGCTTTTCGCTCGTATGCGCGCTATGACCAAAACTGGCCGTAATTTTAAATGAAATCAGTTCACAAAAGTGAAGTACTGTCACGTTTTCTGTTTGAGTCCTCCGGCTTACTCGGAAAGGTTAGGAGAGGAAACTTTCAATTAACATTTTTCATGACGTTTTGAAACCTAAGGAGAATTTCCTGCCCATCTAACCTACCAGAGGACCCTTAACTTACTGTTTTGGAAAAAAAAAATCCAATTTTTTTTTTTTTTTTTTCATTTTCAAATTACGTTCAGTTTGGGCCATACGGGCAAACGGCCAATTCAGCCGTAATTTGTTAGAGGACAGAGGCCCAGAGTTTTCTGAAGAAATGTTTGCACGGCTAGATTGATGTTCACTATGTTACCTAATTCAGTCTCCCAGTTTATATTAGCAGCAGCAGCAGCAGCAGCAGCAGCAATAAAATTGCTTATAGAAGTTTCATTGTGCAGCCTAAAGCTTATCTTCAATGTAACTAGAGGTGGTTTATTAATGTTGGTTAGGAGAAATGTGGGGTAATGGTCTGTGGTCATATCAATGATTATCCGTGAAGTAAGTGGAGAGGTTATGTTGGTCCAGATGTGGTCAAGAGCAGAGGCAGTCGAATCAGTGACTCTAGTAGGTTTAGTGATTAAGGGTACGAGGAAGCAGGAATTCATACAGTTGAGGAAACTAGCAGCATGAAGGTTATCAGGCTCGCAGAGGTCAATATTAAAGTCCCCCGTTAAAGTTAAATGTCCTCCGTTCAGTTAAATAAATCAATATATTAGAGGGTAGGCGGTTCAATGA